CGCCTTCTCTCTTTTAATAAAAAGATGTATGCTGTTGCTTTCATTCATTAAAAAAAATACTAACCACTCACCTCAAACTGAATATACTTCAACAGTCTGAAATTATCAGCATAAAGCCGGAGGTATTCCAGCACCTTTGAATTGTGCAGATATGCTGGAAAATCATCTGGCATTGGGAAGTCGGAATAACATGTCATCTCCTTGGAAGTGTTTGTCACAACAGAACTATATAGGCTTGCTCTTTTGTCTTCCACAGTTTCCTGGGTTGAAGCAGAAAAATGACAGTTGATAAATACTTTCTGATTTCTGGCTCAATTTTAAATGTTGAGTCCTTTAGATTCAAGTGGTGTATCAGTTATGTGTCAGTATGAAGAATGTACTTACTGTGATTTTGTAATGTAGAGGAATTTTCCTCCCCTCCCTTTCAGTGTAGATGCAAAGTTGTACAAGGGAAGTAGGCCACTTTGCAACCAAATGCTAAACGTTATATGCCTAGAGCTTCTGGGTCTTGTAGCTAGGAATTATATGCGTATGAGTGTACCACCATCACTCCTAGTGGCTTAGCAGAGTGGAAGGGGAGAGAAGGAAAGATCTTCTAAGGGATAGAGGGACAGAGCCTTGCAAGGAGAAATCACAGGTTTTCTCTAAAAGCCCCTTGCACCATGACAGTTGGACTCACCAAGCCCTAGTATAGTAAGTAATCAATCCTGACCACAATGCAGAGTGGCAATAGATGATTAACTTAAACACAATGGAGTTGATTTACTGACCGCAATTAGGCTGCTCACTTTACAAGAGAACTTGCACTTTGCATGGGAATTTCCCCTTAGCTTAGTGAATGAGGTGGAACTGTCCTGACATCCATCATGCAATCATGTGCAAGCAAAATTGATTTTTTTTATTTTTCTTGCAAGTGATTGGGTATTCTTTGAAAAGTGAATGAGGAACATGTTCACTAAAAGCAAAGGGTTAATTCCTTTGCAAAGAGTACATTTCCTTGCAAAGTAAAAAGCCTATTTGCCTTTAGTAAATCAACTCCACTGTGTTCTAGTGCCTATATACCTGCAGATGACTATCGAAAGACAGTCTGGGAGAACCAATCACAAGCCAGTACAAAATCCAGCTAGCGCTGTAAGTAAGTAAGTAAGTTCATGTAAGTAAGGCCCCGAATGCTGCACATAGTGACATATTTTTAAGTTGCTCAGGTGACTCATTTCACACTAACTACATGGAAGATGAATGTATAGATACTGAGAGCATGACAGAGAAAGAGCTAAAAGTAGGAAGCAGGTGGTTAAGCATCTGACACGTCATACTTGCCAGAAGGGATGAGTGTAAGACTGAATTCCCAAGGAATCCAGGAACTTCCCTCTGAACTGATGTTTACTGTGGTGATTTACTTCACTTGGTCACCCAATTTTTTTCAAGAGAACTGGTAATATGGTAGAAAGGAAAACTAATCAGTTGACTTTTAGTTCCACTACTAGTAGTAGAAGCTACTGGTGGTGTGCATTGGAAATTCTACCTTCCTAGTAGATTGAGTATATGGGGCCTCAGGACACCAGTCATCTTATATGAAAGTAACTAAGTTTCCATTATCTACTCATCTATAGTTGTAAACATGTTAAAATTCCATGGACCTTGCTGCATAAGTGTAAACTTTTGACATTTTTAAGCACGAACTGAGAGCACAGTGTTAATCCAGCATTATTAGCATGGAAGTACTGTAGTAACATGGTACTATATATCCCGTGTTCTGGCATCATTCTGACTTTTATATGGCACCACTGTGGTAACATGGTTATTCTTTTAATATAAAGCCTCTGCCACTGTTAACTGCCACTGGCAACCACTGATAACCACTGATAACCTTGTGGCTCTGGCAGTATGTGCTATCTCTGCATGTAGTATCATGGATCTAACTCAGGTCCAAAGAGAGCTGGCACTACTTTTGGATCTGGTGGCAGGGAACTGAAATTAAAACAGCAGTCCATTGACACTGCAGAAAGTACAATCCCACTTTGATTTCTAACCAGGGCCCATTTTGTTTTAACATCAGTGCAGACTACATGGAGGAATGTTACATGAGCATGGAACCCTATTTGATGAATATCTATATGTGTTGAAATTGTCCCTTTAAATGTACACTCACTGGCCACTTTATTAGGTACACCTGTTTAACTGTTCGTTAATGCAAATATCTAATCAGCCAATTACATGGCAGCAATTAAATACATTTAGGCATGTAGACATGGTCAAGACGATCTGCTGAAGTTTAAACCGAGCATCAGTTGGGGAAGAAAGCTGATGTAAGTGACTTGGAAATTGGACAATAGAAGATTAAAAACATTTTTTGCCTGGTCTGATGAGTCTCGATTTCTGCTGCGACATTCAGATGGCCCGATCACAATGTAGCATAAACAACATGAAAGCATGGATCCATCCTGTCTTGTATTAATGGTTCCGACTGGTGGTGGTAGTGTAATGGTGTGGGGATATTTTCTTGGCACACTTTGGGCCCATTAGTACCAACTGAGCATTGTTTAAATGCCACAGCCTATCGGAGTGGAGAGTACAAAGAATAGCAAAAAGAGCAAGGGGCACCTCTATATTTTTTTCATAACTAGTTGATGTTTCAAAGGGCCTCTGATATAAAGGTGCTAGCAGTTTACTCTGCAACTCAGTCTGCCAGATATTTATATTAAAATTCTGATAATAATAAATCTCGAAGTGTGTTTCAGCAGGAAAATATTACATCGATGCTACTTACTGTATATCTCCATAAGCCACCAATGTCATTACTTTTTTCAAAACATATTGGTTCATGACCTTCTTCCAGGCAACATTTGATAGCTGTCAGTCCACTGCAGCCAGCACCAATTACAGCCACTCTTTTCACCATGGTGCCCTTAAAAAAAAAAGAAAAAACATTTTTTTTAAAGTTATAAACAGGCACTACAAAAAATCATTTCATTCTTGTATTTGAGAATTATTGTGTTGAAAAAACAAGCTGCAATATGTGTTACCATGCTAGCACTGGGATTTAAGTCCAAAATAATGATCTCTGTTTAACAATATAAGCAAACAAGAGCAACAAAAGCAAACACATTTCATCAGATAAAATTCTTGTTACTGTGTAAAAATAAATATACTGCTATAAAATAACACAGAGCCTATTCACAGTTGTCCATTTTAATGCAGTAGAACTCTGCCTGAAAATGTACAAAATCCCAAAATTTCCCGTGTAGCTGGTTCACATTAATGCACTCTGCAGTCTACTGTAAAAAGGAAACTTTATTGGCCCAATACCATTTTGGGTTACCATGTGTACTGAACATGTGTAGACAGAAGAACCACAACTTTCAGCAATTATTTATTTGGCATAAAGTGCACCTGTCATGAGCCTTATACAATAGCTGTTACATCCAACAGCACATGGTGTTTAGAGTGCAGTAATCACACAGGTGTCTTCACTTGTATGGGACTGAAAGCAGCACTTCTCAAACAAAACACACAAAAAACACAATCTGAATTGGAACAGCCACAGCCCTTTATTATTGTGTTTTATACAAAGTATGCAAATTCACTAAATATTAAGCAAATACGTCATATAGAAAACTCCCTATGACTCTGGCTTAAAGAAGAAATGTAGGTAAAACTTTCATTAACCCTTGCAGTGGTGCTACCCCGGGACTGCAAGTGTTGAATGCTAATTTTTATCTAAATAATTAAAAGAAAAGGTACACTCACCTGAAGCATGGAGCCACCTAGCTCTTAGACCAGCCCTTCCAGCTTCTCTCCCCCACCACTGCAGTGGTCTAAGATCCCATAAATCATTGCGTTCTATAAACTGTGTATAGACGTGAGGATGCTGAGCAACATTCCAATGCTGCAGCATAGGATGAGACAGGCTTCAGAGAACGGAGAAGCAGCGAGCTGGCACAGCTGCTCAGGGAAGCAGTTAAAGGGTTTCTAAACCCTCCGTTTTTTTGCATATATCTACTGCTAGCGAGCAGTAGATATATGCAAAAACGTAAAAAGAAAAACACGTTTTAAAAGCGGTTTAAACTCACCTGTGTCTTCCCTGCGCGCTCCCGTCCGACAAATCTGAAAATTCTCGGGCGGCTGCAAAGCATCTTGGGGTGGACGCATGCGCAGTTTGGCTTTTCGAGACGAGGAGAAACGCAAGATAAGTCTATGGAAAGCGTGCACCCGCATGCATGCACCGTGGGACACACAGGAAGTGCCAGCAAGGACAGAGGAGTCAGCGCTGGATCGGAGACCCGCAGCAGCGCTGGAAAGAAGGCTGAAAACAACAGGAAAGAAGAAGATCGGATTAAGAAACATAATTTAAGGTAAGTGCTTTAATTAGCATTGGGGGAGGGAAAACATTTTTTGTCTTTAATGTCACTTTAACCTCTGCAGTCTGGGGGTAGCCCCACTGCAAAGGTGGTATGTTTTTTTTACCTGGAGATAGACTTTAAGTTGAACAAATGGAAGCTGACACTGTTGGTTACCAGCTGTATACCAGTTTCAAGACATTCGATTTATTTTCCGTGGTGCTGAACTGCTGTTTCACTGCTCTAGAATTATCATACAGCTTAGGGTCCAAAACTGAGCTCATCCCTATGCAGCTACTAAACCAAGCAATGGTAGCCTCTATCAGAAAGTTATTTAGTTTGACGACAGATTCCCTTTAACTACTTGCCGACTGGGGTGTCTACACTCCCTTCCTGGCCAGGCCATTTTTCAGTATTCAGCGCTGCGGTACTTTGACTGACATTTATTCAGTCATGCAATGCTATACTAAAAATTATTTTTGTAATTAATTTTTGGGGACACAGCGCTCTCTTTTGATGGTATTTAATCACCACTGGGGTTTTTAATTTTTACTATATAATGAAAAAAGGACCGAACATGTTTTAAAAAAACTGTTTTCTCTATGTTACATTATAAAACTTTTATATTTACCCAATTTTTTAGGAAAACGGCGGGGTCACGTCGGGTAAATAGACACCAAACAAATGAAGCCTTAAAATTAAGCACGCCCGCAAAATTGCAAAAAAGTACCAAACCCAAAATTGGCTTTAAAAACTGTTACCGCTCATCAGTTTAGTGTTATCAGTGATTGATGGCCCTAAAAGATGTAAGGAGAGAGGAGGGGGGCACACACGAAGGTACCACAAACAAGCGATCTTTACAGCAAACATGTCAAGCCTTAAAATTGCGCACACCCGCAAAATCCCAAAAACTACCGCACCCAAAACTGGCGATATACGACGCTTAAAAAGCTTTTACCACTCATCAAGTTAGTGTTAACAGTGATTGATGGCCCTAAAATGATTGCTCTCACTCTGACGTTCGCAGTGATATGTAACATGTGCAGCCCAATGGGCGCAATTGTCATTTTAGCATGTAGGTGCACCATCGCATGTTTGCGTGTGTACATGGGGCGGGGGACTTTTAAAAATGTTTTGTGTTTTTTTATTTTATATGTGACATTTTTATGCTACTTTAATTTTTTTTTTACATTTTATTTTTTTTACACTTAACTTTATTGCTATGACATAGAGGGCTAAGAATCCCCCTATGTGATTGCCAATTTACAGTAACAGCTGAATGCGGAAGTGATGTAATATACATCACTTGCTGGATTCTGACACCAGAGAGGAGTTTGGAGGGAGATCACGTACTGAACTCCCTCCAATCTCTGGTCACAGAGCCGCTGTGCCGGTCCCAGGCTTGCACCGGGCACAGCAGAGCATGGGCTCGGCGGCGGCAAAGGGGGGGCTGCACACCCACATGCAAATTACAAGCAATCGGGCGGTTCTACAGTCATCAAAATGCTTTTATTTGAACAGCCATTGCTGGCTGTTTCAAATTTTAGCAGTTTTCCCATTCAGCTGTCCAGTGCACGCATGAGTGGGGCAGGGAAGGACATTTTAAAACGCCCACCTGCATCTAGAAGGGTCCTGTATGGCCGTTTATGAATGGCCGCTGGACGGGAAGCACTTAAACATCAAAAAATTGTGAAGTCCCTGTCCCCGCGTACTTGCACTATTGCACTACACATCTTGGGTATCGCAGTGTGCGCTAGAGTGAGAACAAAAATTCTAGGGCTAATATTAATTGGTAACGCTAAATCGATGACCTGTTCAGGTTTTTAAAGCATTGGCTATGGACATTTTGGGGTACCATAGTTTTCACTGTTTCATGGGTGCGTGCAATTTTTAATCTAGCATGTTGGGTATCTATTTACTTGGCACAAGCTCACCTTTTATATTTTACAAAACAAAATATTGTGTTTTCGTGCACTAAAATTAACATAAGTATTTTTTAGTGAACTTTTGGGTTTGATAAAGAGTTGCGCTTATATCATGCGGCATCAAAATTTGCAACTGCTACCATTTTATTCTACACGTTCTCTGTTTTCAGGACATATATAATTTTTGGGGTTTTTTCAGGCCTAAAATGTGGATTTTATCATATATACAAAAAATGCAAACATGGCTCTGGCAGCAAGAGTTAAACTGTTGGGAAAATAAAATAATACTGCTCGCTGTTACTACAGAATTCTTTGAATAGCTTTAGCACAGTGAATCAATTGGTATGTTCTTATTTGCCTCTAGTAATTGTGCTGTTTGTCACTGTGATTTGCAACGAAGGCTGTACTTTGGCAAAGAACATAACAAAAGATATTTCTTTTTAACACTCCATACAATGCTGTAGATTATAATAATGAGTAAAGCTTAACTTAGAAACTGAAGACTTCTTACAAAATAAACAATATTTTTGGGTAAGACGTTGCCTTACCTCTGTTCTTGCCTTGTTTCTGCTGTGTGCCGATTACACCATGCCCCTTTTTTGTTTTCGCAAAAGAACACTTTTGTTTTTCCTTCTTAGTTTGATGCTCTCTGGCACCATCTGCGGCATGAAATGGGAAATTCAACTTAGAATGATAAACCTGCTCCAGCTCAGTTGTGAAAAACTAAAGGACACCACATTTGTTTTTTTGTCCTTAAACCTGAAACTCTTGCAAAAAAATATGATGGTGCTAACTAAAAACTGCTGCTAACTAAAAACTGCTGACATCACAGAGTTGCACTCTGTGATGTCTCTAAATGTTTTGTACTGTGACAATATGGAGGCTGCCATTTTTGACCTCCTCTGAAAATTCTAGTTGCCTGACTGGCATTCTGATCTATTTGCTTCAGCATTTCTGAGTCACTGCCCTGGAACAAGAAGGGAAATTGGTTGTTTTGAGTTCTCTCTGTCAGTTGCTGCCTGCATATTCCAGGTCAGTCATTTACTAAAATATGGAAGCCACATGCAGCCTTGCAACTAGCAGATACGGATGGAGGACTGCAACAATGGCCTCCATATTTCTCTAATAACAAGTTTACCTTAAAACGGACCTTTACATCTTTTCACTAAAATTAACATCAACGTGCAGGTCCGAATGCTGATATAGATTCTTCTCACATTCATTAGTTAAACAACACTTTTTTGCTTTTACTAATGTAGGGATGTTGAATTTTTACATTCTTTTTTCTGTGTTTTTGTGATCTAATAGTCAGATGTTAGTCAGCATAGCTGGATGTGAGGGGTCTGCAGTGATCTTCTCTCCCTGTTTCCTGATTCCCTATTTTGGGAGTTGTATCCTGGGTCCAGCATTATGGGTAGGTCAGCACCAATTACTTATTCTGCAGGACTAACTGTCCGCTGTAGGTTGTTTCAGTCCTATTTGGATCTACCGTGGACCTTAGACTGCCAGAGGGGAGGAGGAGAGAGGCTGCAATGAAAAGTCTAGCAGCCAGGTGGGATCGAGGTTCGGGTGATTAGATTTTTGTTATTTTAGCTCCCTAGACAAAACAAGCACTTAACCCTTGCAGTGCGGGGGTGGCCCCACTGCAAGGGTTAATTTTGTTTCTGCCCGGAGCTCTTCTTTGATGTTTAACATTTTCATTTTTATTTGTTTTGTTCATACATTTTTTTTAGTGGCACAATAAAAATCGCAACATTGAAAAAAAAAAGTTTATTTGTAAATAAATGTGCAATTATGTACCAGAATCATACATTATGTGTCATCCTAGACAGAAAAAATTATCAACCACTGATCAATATTTTTGCAAGATAATATTTCCAAGTGAAAGTCTTGTTTGTCCAAAAAACAATATATGCATTACTTTGTTATCTTCAGTTAGTGCAGAATGAACAGGCCCATAAATGTGCAAATTGCTATGATCCATAGAGAGTTAAAAGGTGTAAAAACTGAAGTGGTTAAAACCCACTGTCTGAATACCAGAACAATAACCACATCTGATAGTATGGAGTCACTCTTTGGCCGACATTTTTCCAACCAGCTCAGTCAATTTTTTTAAATCAGCCCTGTGGTGCTGACCGGGCCACCTAATGCTTGGATTTCAAAATTTGAGCCTTGTATGGCTAACTTAAAGAACATTAGAAAAGAACTAGGCTTTAGGCCAAAAAGATTGCTTCCAAATATTTCTAATTACAGCAGTGTGTTCTCATTTTGCCATCTTGCACAATAATTCTGCTTTTTTACTAATTTTGAAAATAGTTATACTGATGTTAAAGTGACACTAAACTCAGGAGTTAAATTTTAAAAATGCATTCAAGCTGCATATCCGTGCGGTTGCGGGTGTCCGTACTCGTGTATCCCATCTGCGTCCGAGCACGGACACCCGCACAGATGTGCAGTTTGGGTGAGCGTACGGCCGCGTACTCCCATAGAGAAGAACAGGCTGCAGCGTACAATCACACGCAGCACCTGTCCTTCCCGGGAATGGCCCGATACGGCTGTGCATGCTGCACTGATCTGTGAATCAGGCCCAACTATTAACAAAAATTTAGCTTTTTTGTGCATCACTCTAGCACAGTATTGCTCTAATCATCTCTGAATTGGTGCTGACACTGTCCTTCCTTCTGGACGGTGGTTACTTTTGTTCCCCATGGTCTCTGTGTGTGTTGTAAAGCAACCATCACTCCAAACTGGCTCTTGTGATAGACTATAACTTCGATACAAATTAGTAAACTAAACGTGAGATTGTAAAGCACAGCATGAATTCAGAGATGATTTGAGGATCTACAGCCGTGTGATACACAAATAAGTTATTTTATTGTAGAGCAATTTCTGGTCCACAAGATAGCCCTGAAATTAGGCAACTAAATACATTTAAAATATCCATTTTGTACTCTCCATGAAAGAGCCTTTGAACCACACCACAAGGCTGTCACTAAACCACAGATGATTAACGTTTTTGTAAATCTTGTCCAGAATTGTGGCTGTTTATTCAAACTACGGGTTCTAGTTGGTTGAATTGTTCTGTTCCACTGGGTGAGGATAGCATTTCTTGCTCCACACCACTTCCCAGGTCCAGTTAGCCTCATCTGGTAAGGTGTGCATGGCCCAAAGAATACTTGCCATGCCAATTTTGGGTCTGTGAGGAAAAGATACAGCATGTTGGGGTTTACTCCAATCTCCTCAGAGATGGCATTAATATAATCAATATAGTGTATCTGCAGAGTTTGTGTCCTTCCTACACCAAACCTGCAAAAAAAAAAAAAAACATATTGTTACTGCTAAAGAAATCGTAAAGAACTCCATAATTTATTCACTGAACTTAGCTATTGACTTAGGGGTATGTTTATGAAGCAGACTTTCACCAAACATTCAGTGCAAGTGAATTGGTCACTGTCATTTAAAACACATGTACCAGGAAGATTCACCTACAGTGAAGGTGAAAAGACAAGCAAACCGACTATATTTGGCCAGTTCACCCACACGAATCCCAGCTACTAAAATGTATACAAAGCAGCCAGGGAACCTGAGCGATGTCCAAATATGGCCAGTGATGGTGAGTGATATGATATGAGTGATGGCTAGAAGGAATACTGCTTTGTAGATGAGAGCAGAGAGAAGGATCTCTAAGCAGTTCAAAAGGCAATTTCTGAAGTACAGAGTAAGCCAAATGCTTTATGATAATATGGGGAGACAGCAGAGGGTTGTGGTGCACTTGGGGTAAGGGTGTGCAGTGTTTTGGTTGCACAGTGGGTTTTTTTCTTTCTACAAAGGATGCAATAAGGTGCTGCATAAAAGGCAGTTCTTGAATAGCCTGTCAGCAACAGCTGCCTGATGTAGTCATCCCAAGCTAAAGTTATAATCTAAAAAAAAGGAAAATTCTATTTAAAATTTTCTATTTAATAGAAAAAAAAGTAGCTAAGGTGATGATAATTGAAGAGCTAGCTATCAATCAGCTCTTGCAGGCAGATGTTGGTGCTTTCAATGTTCCAATTTGTGCACACAGTGAGGGCATATATGAAAATGTACCCCAGCACTGCAATTTAAAGAATTCCAGCATAGTTTGTTAGAGTTGATGTAAACCCAACCACTAAAATCTCATATACGCTTTAACGTGATATAGAATTTGAAAACCCTATTGTTATTTTAATGTCTAACTTTCATGAAAATAATAGCTGGTAATACTGATATAATGGTCCTTGTTTGGGCACTTTGTGTTATAGGTGATAATGCTCTGTTCCCGTCTCCCACAATTTCTTGGCAGTAAATCACTCTGTCACATGATCCCCAAAGTAAAAGTATGAATTTCTGTGCTAATGCACATTGCCCAGGCATATTACACAGTTGCCACCATTTAAAAAAGACATGCCACAAAAGTATTTGCAGCCGGCAACAATAAAAAATATGCCCTGTGAAAAAACGCATGCAGCCTGATATCACCGTAGTACTTGTAGACAGGGATACTCCTTAAGCTTTCCATAGCCACAGCTAAAGGACATTATCAATATGGCTGCTGTAAACCTGCACAAAGCCCTCTTATTGGCCCTTTGTAAGCCAGCTGACCTAGGTTCAAAGGCTATGAAGTGCATTATGAATATTTGGTTACTATGGCACCAAATTTTACATTAGTTTGGGGGGTCCACGAACCGTGAATATGCAGGGTTTGCCTTAAACCTATAGTAGACCTAAACCTAAACCTGTTCACTACTGAGAAGCAATACACATAAAAATGCTTTAAATGAGTCTATTACCATTTATTCTTCTTGTCCTTCCATTTAGAAACATAATTTTCCATCTTCCTTGCTGATGGTAGTAGAGCAGCCCCTGTTATAAAATAAAAAGCAAATATTTTTGCAAGAATAACTGGAGTAGAAAGAAGTCATAAAGACAACAAGAAAAATATATACAGCTTCAATCCAGTTAAAATCAGTGCAATTTATGTAACATATACATACTTGGTGCAATTATATAACAGCAGTAAACTTATAACTACATTTTTCTTTTTGCAAGAAAATACAATACAATACAAGACAAGATGGTAAGGAGGCCCCTGCCCCTACGGGCTTACAATCTAAAAGGGAGCTGAGGAGGAAGCTGTGTGGGGATGATTTGTTTGAGAACGTGATGGTTGAGAGGTTAGTTTGAGGTGGGATAGGCTTCTTGAAGAGATGAGTCTTAAGGGATTGCCTAAAGGCAGTCAGAGTGGGGGATAGTCGGACAGGTTATAATA